ACAAATTCAGGTCATGCTCTGTTGTTGAGGGAAGTCAAGGCAGGCCTGCTTGTTATTTCACACAGCCTTACCTCCAACCAAGGAACTCACTTCACAGCCAAGAAGTACACAAGAAGCATGGAGGGTGTTGCTGGCTGGCTAATGCTCAGCTCGCTTTCTTATAGGGTTCAGGACCACTGCCTAGGTTGGGTACCGCCCATAAGGGACTTGGTTCTCCAATTGACAATCAGGACAGTGCCCCCACAGTCATGCCCCAGGCCAGTCTGTTCTAGGCAGTTTCTCAATTGAGGCTTTCTTCTCAGGTGACTCTAGGCTGTGTCAAGTTGACAGTTAAAGCTAACTAGGATAGAAGGGTTGACAGCTGAGGGCCACAAAGCTGGGATGCCGTCCAGGAGCAGACAGATCATTTCTCCTTCAGTGAAAACATGAAGATATGCTCATGTAGATCATCCTCAGGAGCCTCAGAACAGCACTATCACCCTGGATGCTCTAGCATACAGAGCCAGCCACATGTAGCTCCCAGAGCATCATGAAGCCTTGCCTCTGGGCCTTTGCACATACTGCTTCTTTACTGACAACACCTTTCCCCGGGGACTTGCTAAACATCCTTTGAAATTCAGCTCAACCATTACTTTCTCCAGAGGCCTGTGCTGAGCTCCCAGCCTGGGGCAGGGTTTTGGAAGAAAATATTATATTAATATTCCTCCCTCACTTTGACCAACACCCCACCCCAGGCCAGCCTGGCCTTGAATCTGACTGAGGATGAACTCCCAATCTTGTTGCCTCCAAATCTCCAGTGCCAGGATTATGGGTGTGTGTATTATCTGACCCAGCTATATTTCTCTTTTCTTTTTAAAAACCTCACCTTTTCTGAAGCTAGATTGCCCGCTTTTTAACTATGTGGCTTTGGTATGTCACTTACTCTTTGCACCCTGGTTTCCTGTTCTGTAAAATGGGATAGCATCACACACACACCCCTCAGTATTTTGTGATGATTAAATGCATTAATATGACTGCAGGAACAAGAAAAACACCAATTCATTACACATGTGTTCAATAGAAGTTTCATATTGCAGGACTGGATTAATAATCCATACTCAGTGATTAATACTCTATACTATTCTTGAAAAGGACCTGAGTTTACAGTCTAACACCCATTTTGGGGCAGGTGCTCACAGCAACTTCTAACTCCAGCTCCAGGGGATCTGACATTCTCCGCTGGCCTTTGAGGGTACTGCCACTCATGTATACATATCCACCCAAACACATACATATAATTAAAAAAAAATAGCCAGGCGGTAGTGGTGCATGCCTTTAATCCCAGTACTCGGGAAGCAGAGGCAAGTGGATCTCTTTGAGTAGTTTGAGGGCAGCCTGGTCTACAAAACTAAAACAAACAAACAAAAAGAATATTTTAAAAACAAAAAATTAAAAGCAATGTTTTATATTACTGTATAAAACAAGTGTATCATTTATAACAGATACACATATGTTGGAAGCATGTGCTTCAGAAGAGTGATTTACTCCCAGGAATTCTTGATCCAGAAGGTCTGGAGATCAGGTCCTGTAGCAAAGATGAAGAGTGCCATCTTCATCCTTAGATCCTACTTCTAACACAGCTGAAAAGATTCAGATAGGCAAATGCAGATTGCTGCCAAACCGGACAGAACCCAAGGCTAGTTCTGGCTGGATTTGGCCTCTTAGGGATTTTTTTTTTTTTTTTTTTAAGTATTCCCACTTCTGTAATAGAATGACAGGTTTTAATTAGACAAAGGCTTCAAGACACCATACAATTCCAGGCTGGATTTAGGGTGAGGGGTGCCCTCTTGTGGTCTATTGGTGTTTCTCTCTTTCTGTACACCTCTGTTTCTGCTCTTCAGGACAGGCTTTGCTGATGGGAAGGAAGGTCTCACCTGGCCCTGCAAAGCTGTCTTTCCACCTTTGGACACCAACACTCTCTCTGATGTCTCAGCCCACTCTGTCCTCCTAACTGTGTCAGAGTTTACTCCAAGTCCTCGCCTCCTTCTACCTCAGTGTCTTCCTCAGGAAAGGTCAGGCAGAGAGCAAGGAAATGTCTGGAATTTTAGAGCTTCAAATTCCAGCCTCAGTACTTATTGTCTGTGTGATATTAAGCAGGCTAATTTTTTTTTTCAGTTTTTTTTTT